TCGATTGCAGCCTCTTATAGAACTGATCTTCATCGTTGTCACTGCATTCACTGATGAATGCATAATATTGGATAAAATTCCTTGTGATCCTCATTTTTTCGTTTTGAAGAATGCTTTGATGATCGTAGATCTATGAGATTCCCATCCTATAAAGGCTTTCTGTAATTGTTTGGATAGCATCGGATCAACTTCCTGAGTATGTGGAGCATTTTCTTCTTTGTGAACAAAGTACACCAGCAACTTCCCCGAATGTCACCTTTTCTGTCCAGCTTGGGTACAATGAAATTCTCTGATTCTTAACACCGCCAAGTTGTATCTTCTCACCATCATAGCTATTAGACGGGTTCTTTCGGTCTCCAACATTGTTTAAAGATTCCATGCACCTATATTAGTTGCCTTTTTGGTTGTTAGAAAAGTCATCGATCTCGCGACTTCCGAATAATCTCTGCTTTCACCATGAAGTGTCATAACTCCTCAAGATGAAGATCCTTTAACGCAGAGGGCAGAATTTCAAAGGCTTAATTTGCTATTTTTTGTTAGCATTGTAAGATCCATTTTGAATGCTTTGTGTGTTTGTGAAAATCCCTCCATGTATGTGTAGAATTATGGTCTACTATGATATTAGTACTGCTCTAATAATAGACCTAATCCTAAAATTGTAGATTTGTCATGATATAACTGCCTAATCTATAAGATCTTACGTGGAAGTCACACCATCGACTACACCAACTCACTGTATGGTATCAATTACCAATACATGATGTAGAACAAGGTTAGGCTAGAGAAAGAACAATATATTTAATATGAATAGGAGATATAAGATAACATCCAGCAGGGACCACGCCTGCATGGCCGAGCCATGCCACTCGATCAACTCAATCCATTCAATTCATTCTCTGCGCCTTCTCCATTGTTAGGTATTTCCCCGAGTTAAATATTGAATATCTATTTTCTGAGTAGTCTCGTGTTCACAGCTTTGTGGATTGTGTGGCTATTGTCCAATGCCACTACATATATACTTGCACTTTGTTCCTATTGATCCCTTTAGTTGTACATTGTTAACTTTTTCAGTACATTTGAATTGTTAATATTTGTATTTTATTATAATTTTCGTTTTTACTACACCTTCACCAATTCCCCATGTTTCTTCCCGAACTGCACTTATGTTGTTTTACTTTATACTTAGTCTGGGCGGCAGCCATTTTGGTTTGTTCCTGCTTTTGATTGCTTGACCTGCGTTGACTGAAATTGTGCATTTTGGTTGTGAATAGAAGCACTCTTCCAGAATTGAAAACACTCTGTGTTATAGAGCGACCAATTATTACCTTTTGAACGAATCTGTACGTGATCTATCCAGACAGGATAGAATAACATTTATTTGTGGTGACTGGTAATTTTCTTGCATCCTTTATCAACTTTCTTATTTATTGTAGTTTAGGTTTGATCAATTGAACAATTATTGGTTGGATAGCTGAGTGGTTATATTTGTTTAGGTAATAATGTACACTTAAATTTATCATAAATTATAGAACCGTCATCTTACCCAATTACTTTGTTTTGGTTTCAATCGGGCGAGGGCGTGTATCTAACTCATCCAGACAGATGTCCTTCACTCCAAACCGTAGTTTGGATCTTACAGCATATTTTCACTGAATGAGGTTGCTGAATCAAAGCCCAACCCTTCTGATTGATGGGGTTTTCGGAACTGACAGACACAGAATATAAACTAACCAGTCTTCGGATTGTAAATTGATGGTCGTAAAAATTAATGACAGCCACTTTTACTGATATTTCCAAAGTTTGACTAAATCTTTGCTGTTCCTTGAATCACAACCACTTGTAACCCAGTAATTTCGTATTTTTCGTGAGTTTGTAGCGGTAAATATATCCACAAAACAAAATAGCTCTATAAGTTTTCGACATTGGATGCTGAACACATTAGTTCCAACGGACTCACCTATCTGAAGTCACTCGATCATGCATCCGCATCAGATCACAAGTGGGAACGCCGTGCTCAACAACTCCTGCAATCGCTAGCCGGATTAGATCAGACGATGCTCCATATATTGACAGTCTATCAAATATATCTTCGAACCTCCTCGCTCCTGTCTTTTGATTTCACTTAGTGGGTACGATTCATAGTAGAAGGTGTTACTGGTTAAAGCTTTGTCAAACTCCGAATACCTGTGGCATCTTCAAGTTAGATGTACCTGTTTATATATGTTTCACCAAAAGCATACATGGTTTACTTCAGCTTGAGTTATTTCGGTTAAGTTTTGGCATTTTTCAAATTCCTTATGAGTTGCTTTTTCTTCGACTGCTCTGCTTTTACATCTTTTGAGATTGCCTGCTCTACTCATAAATGTGGACGGCCAAATGGTTTCTACACAGTGGATGTAGGAATTCTATGTGATGAGTATAAAAGGCGTGTACCCGTTTAAATAAGAAACACACAGAGCCTAACACTCATTGACTTTATTGATTTTATTGTTTAAGTAAGAAGTAATCGGCCTTCTGGTGTTGGACATAAAGAAAGTGTATGGGAGCTAAACTGGTAACATGAGTATTGACAACGCATAATATGTCAATGTACTTAGTGCTGATGGGAAGCAAGTCAAATACCCATTTGTGAAACGTCCAAAATGAATTTAAGGATGAGAAACAGCTGTATATTGGTGGTCACGATTTAACAGTAGTACCTGAAGACTAAAATGAATCATTCACCTCTCCAAATAAGTCTAGATGTTGCTATCCCAACTGACGGTAAATAGAGGATAGCGCGGAAACAAAGATAAAGTAAAATGTCAAAAAGCGCGCCCTTTTAGTTGACAAGTCTTTGATAAACGCACGCTTTGAGACAGAGTACTCCACTGAAGTCCCAAAGTAAGAACGATCTGATCTCATTGAACATTATCGTGAGTGATCAATTCGAATCAAATGACTGTGAAAGAAAACCAACGAGGCATAAAACGATAACGCAATCGAAAACCGCGAGCACGACTTTCGAAGGAATCTAACCCATACGTAAAAGAAAATGACTCTGTTAGAAGGCATGCACACGCTTTGGGGTTTGTGGAATTCGAAATCAGAAATATAGTGACATAAAAGATTTAAAGTGTGTGTATTGCAAAACTAATAAAACCATGTAAGTGGGTTGCAGGCGAGACCGAACTAAGAAGGGTGTTTAAATACGTACTCAGAAGTTACGATTAAAGGTACGTTATACTAAATAATGGAAACGAATCTAGTAGTTTGAATATTTCTCTCTGACCTTACTGAGTTAGAAAGTCGATAGCAAAATATCGAAGGAAACATTAGGATGCAGAGTTTTCGGGTGGTCAGGTATTCAGATTCAATGCTTCCGAAACCTGTATGAGTAGAACGAGTTATTCTCGATATACCTTAAATGAGTGCTACTTAAACACTCGTAATCTGAGAAATAGAATGTCCGAGCCAATGTTGGTGGTTGTCGAAGATAACAGTTTGTCGGTCGATTTGACATCCATAAATCTTAGTAAGGTATTCGGTGAGGTTTCGCATCCAGGTTTTGTGCAGCAGATTTCGAGCATTGGAATAACAGATGCGGTGCAATAATGGGCAAGTGCAGTACAACAAGATACGTCATAGGCTCACTACCCCCTTTTCTCTCAAGTCATCAAGTATATTGTCTGTAGATGATATCAGAACCTGGAGAACAATAAGTGGTGGGTTTCGAAGTTAAAACCTAGAAACCAATTCTACGGAGAATGTGCTAATACACGTCGCACACGTTGATATATGCCGGTATTCTGTCAACGGTACATCGCCTCCACGCGTGTAGGAAAACAAGGACCAAAGGATAAGAGTAATTTATAACTTTAATAAAGTTACGTACACTCAATTGTATTGTATATTGAATGGTTAATACTTCTGTGCATTTGAGTTGACAAAAATAAATAGGCGGCCAAACTAATGTAACAAGGTGATCCGACCTACAGTTATTGTGTTGATCCATGTGATAAACTTGAACGGAGAGTTCGTTCAACAATGACTGTCGTGGTCCTTTACAAACAGACGCGGAAAGGCGTTATGTGAAATCTCATCATATTTCATCCAGAACCTTTTGCTATCTAACATCTATCATCACGAACTAAGCTCGTCTGAAAAGTAATGGATAACTAACATCACCTTTCACACCCAGTCACAACGCTTTGCAACAATTTTTCAGGACCCCGATATTAAAATGAAACATTCTAAAAATATTGAGGTCCACTAGACTCTTTATTTCAGATGCTTAATTTGATCTTGTCTGTTGTATGGCCTTCTGCGCTAATTAAATAATACTCAACCAAAATGAGTTATCTGAGAAAACATATAATTATCCTCCCTACTTTATGGAAATCCTTTAGCGCACTATCAAATTCAATCCAACTTCTAAATCGCTTGTTCAGTATAATACGTTGAAACGCCTCGCTTACTTCCACTGAAATATCACTTGAGCACGAACCACTGCAGACAACACGCATTAATTATTAAAAAGGTTATTCCTTAAAAAACAACAACTGAAAGAAGTACAACAAATATTTAGGACTTACCCGTGAGTTGACATTTCGTCTTAACTGTTTTGTTTAAAGCGATTCACAAAAACTTTGCGTACCTATAACTTTTAAGGTTATCTTATCTTTCTAACATTATTTTCTGGACCTTATCAACAAATTATATGAAAGTGATGACGTTTACCGCAGCAGTTGGGATCACAGATCACGTTACGAAGCAACAACAGAGCTTACGTGTACCCTACAAAACAGAGAATGATAAATTTAGGCTTTTGGCAGTTATTTTGTGCTTTTTCATGCGGCAGAAGATGACTTAAATATGAAAAAAACTTATTACTCATACGACACAACACACCTACGGCAATTGAAATACGGAATGACCGCTTATAGTCAGGCCGTTCAAGGTCGTTGAAACGAAACGGCGGGCCGATTTGAAGGGGTTTGTCTCGTCTTCCAGTGCCCAAAATGGGGAAAGTAATGTCGATGGCGCGTCGGTTTATAATGAATTATAACGTAGAAGAAAGAGCTATGAAATATATGGAGGTGAACAAAAATGTTTTCAAGGCTCCTCCTAAGCATCCGGGAACCGTTTCAATAGTGGACGAACGATATGAGAAACTATCAGCGCATAATCCAGAATTGGATAAAAATGTTAACTCTTTAGGGATAGTAGCAAAGTCTTTAAATAAAGGCATATTACCCGAAGGTATGGAATACGTTAGCAAAACAACGCGCAAGCTACCACAGGTTTGTACTTTAATAGAAATATTATGCTAGACGTTAGAAGTATGCTGGCATCTATCCTTATCCTCCACCCAGTGAAGACTTTGGTTTCGTTGTTCCAGAGTCGGTTCCAGAAGGAAGACTAACAATGCGTCAAGCCGTCAAACTTATAGCGACTCATCAGAAAAGCGCTGCAGATATTGATAGTTTAAGTGAATTGTTTAGCCTTGACAAAGAGAAAGTAAACACATTCACCATAATATATTTTACAGACTAAACAAATCCTTGACTACTTTTCGTTGTTTGAAGTCCCCGATAAAGGTATTTGGACTCCTCCTTCAATGCAACAGTCCGAACTGAAGTTGTTAGATGAGGCTGTATCTTACGAGCAAAATGACCTGGAGGATTTGGGAGGAAATGAATATATTCAGCGAAAGACAGTGTTAAAGCAGTTGAATAGAAAATAAATGAACCGCTTTTGTTCCCTATAAATAAATAGTGAATACATGCTTGCGTGCTGACTCTCACTCCTATGTATGATTATAAGCCTTTTGTTTCTTCATAGGAATGCGTGCGCTGAAATCTTATTATCGTATTTACCGGCTTTGTGGTGTACCTTGTTTCCCTACACCTGTTTCTCGTTCGTGTGCTGTCAAACCATCATGGTTGCCCGAAGATCTTACAGAACATTTTGATGCTTTTAAGAAAAATATAATATTCGAGTATGAAAACGTCACTAAACTCATGACATCTGGGGCAAAAGAATGTGACCTGTAAGTTAAGAAATGCATCACCCTTAAAGTCTGATCAGTTATATAAAAATGTGACAGTTGGTCAGACGTTTTGTCGTTTTGCAATGCAGATAATTAGCCATTATCAAGTCCCCGATAGTAACATCACTAATCAGTGTTTAGGTAACTAATTAGGTCCTATATCTTATTCTATCTGTGAGCGGATATGTGGCTTGAAAACAACTAAGTATAGTGTTTCAACTGGTTGGGAAACATTATTTATATTTATATTGTTTAAAGTGAAGTTAGTATGCTTTGCGTACACGATTTTCTAAAGTCATTTACATTAGTCAGTCCTACATTTACTACACTATTTTAGTTATGTTAAAATCAAGATATTGAGAAGACGTGATGTTGATTATTAAATTTGTGAGTCGTCCGTTTAAGTCGTATAAAAGATGAAAGCTCCTCAGTCTCATGGGTCAGAACGAAGCATACCTCAGTGGTGTATTTGTTTCTTTACTTTGCTAAAAATTCATAGCATTAATATTTCTTGTCGATTTCGTAATTTATTCCCTATATTCTTCCTCACATGGTTTTATTTTTTCTATTGAAGTAACCCGGCGAACTGTTATGTCGGCTCACTTAAATCAATACTCGTGAGATTGGTAGTTTTATCGGGCAAATTTTATTCACGAAGATTGTCTGTGATTTCTATAATGAGTTATCTGTGACTTAACTTTCAGCCTTTTAAGGATATATTTACTGATTGAAATCTCACTGACCAACAACCGTACTTTTAGGAAAGAAGTCAACGATATTTTAAACCCATATGTCAGGTACATAAATTTCTCAGTTGAGTGTTACCAAAAGTATATTACTGGAGGTTAGATTATTTGTTATGTGAAAATAAGTTACGTAATCTACCAGTCCAGAATAACTCATTTTTTATTTTATTGATTGCATTCTTACTTCACAACTATCATTCTGGCCTTTTCTTATTTTTAATACTACTGTTGTTACCACCACTATTATTCTTTACTGTTAATTCATTTCTGACTATAATACTTTAAGTAAAAGGAACTTCGAGTGGTTTACTAAACCACGTGGTGGATATTTTACTCACTTGATTTGGATATCAGTTAACACGATTTTTGTTCCAAACGTAGCTACACTTAATTAAAAATAAAATAATGAATTGGTTATAGTACATATTTGCCTACAAGAAAACACAGTGTATTTTGTACACTACTGGTGTAAAATAGACATATAAGGTGTTAATGTGGGCAGCAAGTAACTTTTTTCCTACGTATAAACATTTTAACCGCTTTGTGGGTGTAAGATTCCATCGTTCAATGAGCATTTGCAAATCCAATTTTCTTAACTAGTCACAATACACTTATTATTGTTGACCATTCATTAAGCACATGAGGTAAAATATTCTCCTATGGTTCTTATCACTTGAATAGCTTGGAAAAAAAACCATGAAGTGCAGATAACGCCAATCAATAATTTATGATTTGTAACTTAAGAATCCAACCTGTCTCAAACTGTATTTTACAGCCCTCGTATCCATCGTTAAAGAAATCACGGTTAGCCCACTGGTTTAGAATCTATTGGTCTATATTTACCATTTCTAATTAGTTTGTATTTTTAGCTAAACGTCCAAGGTGTATACTGCTTAAGAATTTACGAAAGTAATGTATACACCCGTTCATGGTTTCTTATTTCCATAAGTTTCTCGAGTAATATAATTGTTCGAGTCAATAGGTTCATCATACATCATATTCTTTATATGTTTCCACGTTGATGAATGTACATTTATTTACATCAATCTTTTTTTCAGTATTCCTTTATCTGAATGTTGGAAGAATTTAAGACCAATAGTAGATGTGATTGAAGAACTGGATATATTACTTGAAGCTGATAAAGAAGTAGACCAATTAGTGGCAGGTGATTTTTTTTTATGAATCATCTCATAAAATACAGTATCACAATATTTTGGTACCAACACATTCATATTCTAAGTGTTTTTAGACAACTGGTTGGTATTACTTACTTTCACTTCTAGTGTGTTTCTTACTCAAGTACTTTGTGAATAAGTTAATTAAATTAAATTTAAAATTGCTTAGCCAAGAATTATTCCAGTGTTTTTCTGTTCATGAAGTTTAGTATACTAACAGTTCACAAAGTAGGGGCTTTGTTACAATACAATTAGTCCTCATACTCCCTTAATATCATTTAGGTATAATTCGACTTAGAATACTCAGATGATATAATCCTGTTTGGTGAAGACGCTCATAAAATGCAGAGTCTTTTGGTAACACTGAGCTACAATACCAGCATGTTTGGAATGCCCTTCTCTCCCTCTAAATGCAAGTTGTTGCTTCAGGACTGGTCTGCGTCAACACCTGAAGTAAGAATAGGGAGTGAAGTAGTTGAACGCGTTGACAACTTCACTTATCTTGGAAGTCTGATCAGCCCTAATGAGTAGGTGTCTGACGAAATCTCAGCACGGATTCGAAAAGATCGCTTGGCTTTTGCCAATTTACGTCACCTATGGCGAAGGCGAGATATCCGTCTATCAATAAAAGGACGAGTATACTGCGCGGCAGTCCGTTCTGTTTTACTTTACGGCAGCGAAACATATCCATTAAGAGTAGAAAACACTCGTAAGCTACTAGTATTTGACCACAGATGCCTCAGAGATGTTGCCGGCGTCTGCTGGGATAACCGGGTAAGTAATAGTGAGATTAGACGCAGGGTATTAGGGAATGATGGTAAATCAGTTGATGAGGTTATGAATCTTCATCGACTGAGATGGTTGGGCCACGTGTTACGTATGCCCGAACACCGATTACCATGACGTTCAATGCTAACCGGTGTTGGAGATGGTTGGAAGAAAGTTAGGGGTGGCCAAACCAAAACGTGGCATCAGTGCTTGAAGTCACTAACCTCTAGTCTGAGCCATGTTGGTAGATGCAGACTACTTGATTGGGGTCCGCGTGACTATCGTAACCAATGGTTGGAGACTGTGGGTGACATGGCTCAGAATCAATCACAATGGCGTAGGTGTATACACTCTCTATCTTCCCTTAAAGTAGGAGATTAAAATTGCTTCATATCTTTCTTTCTACTAACTAATTCTTTCTTCCTGTACTATCCTTATTGCAATCTTTCTTTTATATATTACCACCTCTGGATTAACTACTTTTATGAATCCGGTGTCCATCTTGTTGTGCTAATGAGATATGGCAACTTGAACCGATGCATATGTGTACCTGGTCCTACGTTGTAGCTGACTGACATTAGTTAAAAACCTGATTGTTTAAAATCATTTGAATTCGAGCTAGAAAGGTTATTTACTAATCATCGTGACTAATACTCAAGTATTTATGTTAATTGTCTGCTTATGTTGTCGTTAGCATTAGCGATTCTGTAAAGCATCGAACTGAATAAGGGGTACATTGAAGCAAGGACTAAAGCCCCATACCTCTCATTGATTTAAATGAAAAAGTCAAACACAAAGCAGCGTGAACGTAGCTTGTGATTTTATTAAAATGATTTCTACAGCAATAATCTTATTGGCGGTAAAGCTCGTTTTTTATTTAACTTAGTCATAGACATCCTTTTTGAGATAACGCTCATCGCCTGATGTTTCAGGAATTAATCTTTTACCGTGGAATCCTCTTATTTACTTAGAATACGCAAATGATATTGTTCTGACGAAATAAAGTTTTGTGACTGAAGCAATATAAGCATGTTTAGGATCCATTCTTCTCTAACAAAATATATAATGTTGCTTCATGACTAATCTGTGTCAACGCTTGAACTACGGATTAGTAGTGATGTGGTTGAGTGTATCGATCAATTAATTTTATTTTGGAAGTCATTAACCCTAATGGGTTGGTTTGTGATGAAATATCGGCATAAATTTTCAAATTCCGGTTGATTTTTGTTAACCTAAGTCACTTGTGGCGTAGGTGAGATATCTGTTCGTCAACTAAAGAACTATTTGACTGTGTAAAACAAAGCCTTTGAAAATGAATAAGTGCAGACTTTGTGGTTGGGGTTCGCAAGATTATCATAATCAGTAATTTGAGACTGGATAAAATGGCTCAAGATCGTTCACAATGTGCAAGTGCATTCTCTTGTTTTCTTACAGATCCCAATTTTATAAACTTCCCATAATTTTATTTCACTAATTCATATTTTCTCGAGTTATGTCTTTTCTATCGCCACCGATATTGTCACTACCTCTACTACTCTGGGGCTTGCCCTGACCATTTTATCTCTTCGTACTAATAGTGTACATAGGTCCCACGTTCTCCGTTGCCTTTAACCGACTGACTAGTCGACTAAAATCCTCTGCTCTAGTTAGCGATATCGTCGAACAAAGTAAGAATTTTCTCCTTCACCGTATTGATGTCTTTTTATTAATCATAACCGATTTTTCTCTTTATTCAATATTTACTGGAACCGATAATTAGATATTGTCGGTACTGACACTGAGGATGATGTTGATGATTTAAAAGCGATTGCTGAGTTGGAACGTAAACAAAGAAATGTTCAGCGTGAAGCGTTGGAAAAAAAGGTATCAGATTATTTTCCTCTTCAATGTAGAAAAATATTAATTGTTTTATTGGTTCATTTGTTAGAATATTATTCGTCATATAATATTCGCGTCACAAACTTACTGCGGCTAAACAACCATTGAAAGCCAGGAAAAGCTGGACGGCTGTTTCTTAGTATAAGACTCTCCAGTAGTGCCCGTGTACGACCCCTGGTGGGATCGAGTTTTGGCCCCCCCCCGGCATTGTGGCGAGTGTTCATACTTCATACAGATGGATCGGAATCCAATGGTTTACAGTTCTCACTTCGATAATTTCACGATATCACACGTCTAGTGCTTCCCGATTTCCGTTCGTTTTTTAAATATAGTCAGTCCATCATGTAAACGATAAAATTCAACAATCTCAAATAATCTGTTTTACTCGTATGATATTTAACTATTGTTTATCAGATGGGTTTTGTGGATATTATAGTAATTTCAATGGTTAAGATCATGAGTCAGTTGAAGCTAAACCACCATGGAAAACCTGGAAGCACTGGACGGCCGTTTCGTCCCTTTGTCTTCATATTTGTGTCACTTCGTGATTCTAATTCCATATTTGTCATATTAATCTATTCTGTCGGGATCACATAGTATTTTCACAATATAACACTGATAAGGTCTGTGTATTCAGCTGATCACTTATATCTAGTTGGACATTCCAGTTCTGTCTTAACTCAATTCCATGAATTTCATCACAAATCTGTAAACAGAAGATATACGTGTAAAAGATTTCTAACCCTAATATTCACTCTAATAAAATCAAATGTGAGAAGAAAAAGTAACAGCCTTTGAAATATTTCTCCAGAATTGTCATTCGATGTTATCAATATTACAACATTAAGTTCAGTGTGTTTGACTGTATTTTATGTGAAGTCGATCTTTGTGTTAAACAATCAGAAGTAACCGATTTAATAAATGTTATATTTTATTGTTAAAGACTTATTCATTAGGTTGCACATCTCAGAACAAAAATATCTGATTTAATTTGTATTTTCATGGTATCATAAAATTGGTGTTGTGTAGGACTAAGTATCCTGATTATAATTCAGATTTAAAGATCACCTTTGGTTTGTTGAGGAAAAGCTTTTATATCAAAACTAATCCTACGTCGAGTGAAGTGATTCTAACTTTTCCTGTAATTCGTGTGGTAGTACGTAAAGGATGGTCGACTGTCATATCCAATTTACGTAGTGTGTTATCTTCATAAATGTTGGTGGTAAGGGTTACTTTTATAACATTAGAAGCAGTAATCAGATACAACAATACTCATGTAGTAGTGGTAGTATTCCAGTTGTTTTCTTCCTCAATTTCGCGCCTAAGAAATTTTAAATTTTAATAGGAAATTGAAATGTTTTGAAAATTGTCGGACTTCCGCCCATAAAAATGCAGCATTTAATAATAATCAGTGCATAAAACTTTATGATTTTTTACCAACTTGTTGACAGTTGAATTTGAGTTATAAATCTGACTTTTTAGCTCCTTAGTTTGCTACTTCCGACTGATGAACGTGATCTTAATTCAGCTGTAATAATGGAACTATTCGCTGGGGCTGGAGGTAAAGAAGCTGGTTTATTTGCTCATGATTTAATGAATATGTATCATGCTTTCGCCATACAACGAAATTGGTCCTTTACTGTTTTACACAAAAATGTAATGTCGAGTGAAGAATGTGCTCCATCCCATAATGAAACTTCACTTTCCTATATTCGTATTGAAATTGAAGGTGAACCAACTACAGAATCCGGTATAATGTCGTTTGGTGCTTATGGTCAGTTAAAATGGGAGGCTGGCGTTCACCGTGTTCAACGTGTTCCTGTTACTAGTAGTCAGAATAAGATTCATACTAGTACAGTAGCAGTATCGATACAACCTAAGTATGACGATGTGAGTATTTTAAAACAAAAGACTTTATATTCACTAATTTCATTTGTTGATTAAATTGTGAACATTTGTTCAAACGACGTTCTGCATAAGTCTAACTCGGCCTAAGTTCAAAATTTAAACTGATCAATATCTTTTTCTTAAGGTCCCTTCTTTACTCTGCACATTACTTGTTTGTTAATAATGCCATTTCTAAAGGATTTTGGGAAAAATCTTATAACTGTGTGAATCCACGTTTGACCTAAAGATTCATACATTTGCTAATACTCTATATGAGATTTAACGAAGTTCGTTAATACTATATAGAGTATTGTGTATTTGATTTCCTTGATGAATTTGAAAAAAGTAAAAATGAATTCATCCTATTTCAAGGACTTTTATCAACTTCGAACAGTCTAAAATTAGAAGGAATATCATATCTGAAAACAAAATTTTGGGGCTTTAGTAGTTGAAAGTGACATGAATGGTCGAAAGAAGGCCGAACGCCATAGTTAGAGACGCAAGGTATATAGAATTTACTTACATTCCTCTCATATATATAGGCTATAACGACATGATGTAATTTCCGTGAAGATTTATTAGATTGATCTGCTCTCATTCAAAGGCTTCATCCCATCACATAACTTCAAACTTTCTGAGTATAGTTGAATCCTTTTTATGAATAGTATTGTTCATCATATTTTTCCTGAAAGGTTGATATCGATATTCCTGATAATGATTTAAAATGGGAATTCCATCGCCCAACCGGTCCTGGCGGTCAAAATGTGAACAAGTCGACTAGTGCAGTTCGCCTGACACATTTGCCAACCGGTATAGTCATTTCATGTCAACGTGAACGTTATCAACATATAAACAAAGGTTTGGCATTAGACATGCTCAAGGAAAGGTTAGTTTGTTTAATAAAATCGCATCTCATAGTTTACATCATGGATTGATTTTGATGATACAACCATTAAAAAAAAGGAAGCACTGGACAACTATTTCGTCCTAGTATGGGGCTTTTTAGTAGAACACATGTACAACCGTACTTAAATTCGAACCCCGAGCCCTCAGGTCTTGCAGCGAACGCTCAATCTTTAGACCACTGAGCCAACATCTAATGGTTTACATATCTAACTCCAATAAATTCGCGATAATACGGTCTCAAACCTGATACAATGGAATTTCTTAATGGGACGAAATAGCTATCCCGTGCTTCTTGTCTTCTATTCGTTGTGTAAATATAATCAATTTGTAACATCAAGTATGAAATGACTTCTTTTTTATTTAATATAGATAAAGAAATAAGAAATCATCTGTGATATATATATTTCTCATTTCATTGTGATTAATAGCTCAACTTCTTAAGTCATCTCACACTGCAATTTTCTTTTTTCATGGTTAAACATCTTTTATCGAGTTCAATCTTTTGACAATCAGCTGAAATTTCATCTACTTTTATAAAAAACAGCTGGTGAAGATGTTTATTTGTTGTTGAGTCCGATAGTGATTATAATAGTATATCATCATAAAAGTTATGATTATTACATCCAGCACTAATTATAGATAGTCTTAATATTACCTCTCAGTTACTGTGCCTGAAAATCGTCTTTGTTGCTTGTGTTACACTCGTTTGGTTTTGATGTTTTGAACAACACACTTTCCAATTTATGCAGATCCAACTGTTCTCAGTCGACACTATTAATTCAGTCTTTCGGATTCCACTTCACATGAGCTTTCAGTTACCATAACCATCTCTTTTTATGTTTATATCTAGTATCTGTATTGATTTAATCTTACTGATCAATTTGAACGACCCTGAACTACACGTATAAGTTATTCGATCGAATGTTCCTATTCACAATAGACAGTTCAATACTATATACAGACCCTAATAATTCAAATAGGATAGCTTTAATAAAGTTTCTTGTTTACTAATGAATAAGCATATTTCCCTCAGTTATAGGGGGCGAAACAATTTTAAGAAAATGTTTCATCTTAACCTAAGCTAAATAATTATTGTTTATTATAATATACTAGGATTATCACACTGACATTCAGGGATTGATTATAGGCCTCAGTATAATGCCATTTATTCTGCTTCTACTACAACTTATATAACATGTTTAAATAGTTCTTAACAGATATATGTAGTATATGTACCATTCACCGCAGTTCATTTACCTGATTTTCTACACCCAGTTGTAGAATTATTTGTTTCGTCACCTCAATTCCATTTCAGGATGTTTTGAACGAAATGGTTATTAGAACCCCTTATTATTAGACCTCATACAATACATTTATATCGACATATAAATCGGTACTCGATTACACATTTCAGTGAATATTATTATTACTAACATTGTACTACTTACCTCGTGATGGTTGTGGACTTTATTGTTTTACCCAGTTAATGTTAATCTATGATAAAATCAGTTGTTAAGAAGGACAGTTGCGTTACTACAAATGTAGTGGTGATATATTTCAAATTACTTAATTGGTTTTGACTAAATCGTGCATAGATGGTGTGACTGAATTTTTCCAAATTGATATGACGTTTTATTTTATAGAGTATCAGTTGGCGTCATATGTCCAAATTTCAAAGTGTTTAGAGTTCAAATTTTCATTATAATTGCTTCTATTCTCAACAAACCACTATGAATAGTATTTCATTGACTAATAATGATGTGTTTGCTGTCTTATTTGTAAAAAGTTGATTTATCATTCAGTCGGATGTTTATCGTAGAATATAATACTGCATAAATATTAATCCATACCAGTAACTTAGCGATTGCAACACTCAGTTTCCAACCATAGGGTTGCAGGCTAGTATTCAATCATATGTGTCTTCGAAGCATTGCCCGTGTATTTTGAGATCACGTAGTAAGCAATTTCTGGGTTAGGAATAGATTGCTAGGTAGAGATAGGAAATCGATTAATAAAGTAATAAATCTTCACCAGCTAAGGCGGTTTGGATATGTGTTAGATATGCTCAACCACCATCTACCTCGACTACCGGTGTTCTCTGGTATAGAAGGAGAAAGCTGGAAAAAAAACTAGGGGCGACCGAACCAAACACGTGGCATCAATATATAAAGTCATTGATAATTGTATTTAGCCATGGTAATAGGTCCAGACTACCTGGTTGGGGTCCTCATGATTGTTGTGACCAATGATTCAAGACTTTGAATGACAGCTCAAAATCGTTTGCAATGACACAGGCGCATCCATTTTTTGTCTTCGCCCAAAGTCTGGGCATCTGAATCCCTCATAACTTTTTATGTGTTTTTATTTCACTAATTTAAATTTTCTTGAGTAATTTCTCTGATGCCTAATCTTTTCAATCACCACTGATACTGTTACTACCTCTACTATTGTTAGATTTTTCCTGACAATTTCATCTTTCTGTACTAACAGGCATGAAAACTTGAACCGATGTACTTAAGTACAGGTTCCACGTTGTCGCTGACTGACTAGGTAATATCACTAGCCTTTATATAAGCGGTTCGATTTAAAACAGTATGCAGATTTGTACTTCATATATTAGTATCATTAATATATCTTATTAAGCAATTTTGGGCAAACATTTTTGCAGTAAACTCAATCAAATAATCTTCCTTATTTTCAGATATATCTTTCTTGTCAAGCATTTCTTTTATTAAGCCTTATTAATAATAAATCGATGAATCTTTATGAAAAATAACCATAAATATATGGTTGGAAAAAAATTTCCGGTTGCTGATCTTTTTGCAGTATAATCTATTGTGATTGTTATTAGTGTTACTGCAAATATAAAATGAAAGTCATACTTAGGTTTTGAATTAATTGATGTTGACGATAATGCTCAAAAGTAAACAATGTAAGCTACTCGAATGCAATACCATCAAAAGTATTTACCTCAGTTGTAAATCTTTTTTTGATTATTATATATTCATTTACTGTTGTTTGAATAGTTCGGAGGTAATTTTCTTCTCATTTGAAAACTTTGTTTCATAATCACCGTTGAAACAGAACTGTACGAATCAGTTTTATTTCATTTCATTTGTATTGTTTCGTCTTTCTCATGCTAAAGGCTTCATGAAATTCATTCAAAATCGCAGTCTCACTTAATTGATTCCATCCGTCGATCTCATTTGGGAAATCTAGATAGATCAGAAAAAATTCGAACTTACAATTTTCCACAAGATCGTATAACAGATCATCGGTTAAACGACTCTTGGAATAATTTATACAGATTTATGAAACAAGCTGTTGGATTAAGTGAAGTAATAGAGAGCTTATACAAACAGGCTCAACGAGAACAATTAAAACGAAAGCTATGTACAGGGGACATAAAAAGTTGATTGTGATAAATATTTAGTCTTTATTTTCTCAAATAATACATAGATAAAATAAATCAAATTGTATTCATTTTCCTTTACGGGATTATTTGAACAATAATGCTTGAAAATTGCTTGCTTAGAATAAGAAATTTAGTGTAACTGAGTAAAGTTAATGCGAAAGAATTCCTGAACTTGTGTTTCATGCTAACCAAGGTGTATAACTTGAGGGGATTGATACCTCATTTTGCCTGTATCACTAAAAGTTACTGTCGTAGATATTACCACTGTGATGTTCAAACCGAGATTAATTTGTGACACTATCAACTATCAAACAGAATGGGACATTATACTGATTCACACCAACTTGTCGGATAACAACTCGGTCAAAATAAATTAATCAGCATATAACTTTGGTCACTATTTAGTAACCAATCGTTACAAAAATGTGATCTATCTTCAGGCAAATTTAATACATTGTTTTCTAGTCTCACCATTCTTCGGTATATCTTCCATATGTACTTTTGAACATGAACGCAGCTGCTTTCTAGAATTGAAAATTCTCGTCTTAAACCCCCGAAAGACAGAGGGCATGTGGTAATGCCGATTTCTAAGGTCAGTTCACTTGTTGGAATCGGTCACTTAGGGAGAAATATCTGACCTTGGCCCCTTCAAAACATGGTATACTTGTTGACTATCCAACTGAATAATGACAAGACTGTGAAAAATAAATGCTGCTGATTAAGGGTAGCAAATTATTGATCGGGCCAAAGACGCGCAAACACGTAGAACAACCTAGGGTTCTGATAGGTCTCGCTTCCCTGTATAGCCCAGTCAATTGAGTCCACAACACAAGTTTCAGCCTCGGATTTATGAATCATTATATTTCAAACATACTTTGTTTATATACCAGTCAAGCAGTCCACAACGTACCATAAAATAGAAGATAACATTGTACAATAATGGCCAACAGGAAAATAACACGTTAAATAGATATTGACCAATAAGATGATACCATTTCATGTCCAAGGATAGCATTAGACTTAACAGGATAATTTTCGGGATATTTTCCTGAATATCCCAACAGTTTACTCTCAGGTGTTTCTAAATGATGAAACTTCTCTTAGGCAGCTGGAGTGCAGATTGTGCCATATACATTTCATATTTTCTCTGAGCTTCCCGAATTCTGATTATACACGTGTTTCTTACCCACCTGTGGCGTTCCATCGTACCTGCTGTACCAAGGCTGATAGCAACATTTCTTTTGTCTTAGTAGACGTCAAATATCCCGGCCTATCCGGGGGTGGCCGTGCTTCTTTGGGACTGTTCAGGGTATATATGGTTGAGATACCCGATTGTGTAACTGCCCAAAATAAGTACATGCCTCTTGCACTGATGCCCTTAAGTCGACTTCCCAGTTTTCAGTCGATTGATTGATTGCCTCCATGTCTGCCGTCCACATATTAAGACGGGCGGGCGCAGCTGTTTGGCAATCTCAGCCATGAATTCGAGTAATATGACTGCATGATCACTTCTCCCTAGTGGTGGGAGGAAAGTCATTTGACCAACGTCATCACCGTTTGTGAACACTAAATTCAATAGAGAAGAAGAACTTCCTAAGTCATATTTGGTGGGATCTCTAATGTGTTGGAATAAACCTAATGCAATTAAGGTTTCTAACAGTTTGCAACCGAATGACGTTATCGATGACCCTACGGCTGAGTTTACTCAGTCTATGTACAGTGCATTAAAGTCGCCTACTATAAGGCCTTTCCACCTATTATACCAGAACTTAAGTTTGCTTAGGATGAAGTCACCTACTACACATTCTGGACTGCGATATACTACAACTAAGTCAATATCTTGCCGCCTACATTTCAACTTGCAACGTACCAGTCCACATGTCTCCGAATCATGTACCACTGCCTCAACTGCTCGTATGGTCAAGTTACTTTTCGTGTACATGATCACGCCGCCTCTCCTACAGTTTAATCTGTCATCCCTACTGGATAAATAAAACCGGTCGACTGAGTTTTATTAACGAACACTTCTGACGTTACCCATGTTTCTGAGATATCTGATTTTTCTTTATCCACCATTTTCTTGAGCTCCAACATATTACTTAGTAGGCTGCGAGCATTTGTGTAGCACACCTCTAATTATATGGACAACTTTCCCTTACCGCCTAGAGTGGTTTGTGGATCGTTTTTTTCCAAACGTTTACAATTTGAAAACCCTTAAGAACAAGGTTTCGTTCACCATTTCGGTGGTGCTCATTAATTTCTACTCATGCAGCTCATCTCTTAATACGATCAATCAGGCTGAGAACCTCACGGACGCATATTACTGATCCAATCAGTTTGAGTGTGTTTCCTAATATCAGGTTTCATACTTCAACCCTAGCAAAGGTAACCTTCAGGAGGCAGTGTCTCTGAGTAGTTCACCTTTTGTCCTATTCTATAAAGCTTACAGATGCTAACTCCTGAAACTGTTCCTGGGAGTAGCTTGCAATTGAAGGACTTAATCTGACTGAGGTCGTGTTCAAATCCAGCCTTTGATTCCTTATCGGAAGATTTTGTTAAATTATGACCGACCTTTCAGCGAGGTCCGTCTTAACACGGTGTTGAAGTTTTTGTTTCTGAAAGCGTCTCTTCCCTGCAATCCGATTCCAATTTAGCATCAAATGCAGAGGTCACATTCTGTTTTCTTACGTTTCTTTCCGTGGGGGTAATTGTGAGCCTTTTATATACATTATTTCGTCCCTTAACCACATCCTCTACAACGCTCAGACTTGGCTCACCCATAAGTTGTATTGCACTGATATGTGAATCCGGAACTGAAACCGTAGATTCACATGCCTCATTACTGTCTATTGGTAGTTTCTTCTTCTCACCGCGTCTTTTATTTCTCCTTGTGACAATGCCTACATCCATATGCTCGTTATCTAGTTAGACGATAGGGTCCACCTTTACGGTCTCATTTAAATCCATAGCTGGGCTCATGATAATGCTTTCAATTCATTCGAAAGCGGAATTCTGTTCATCTACTGCTGCCTGTTTATTTGAGGGCAATTTTCCAGCTGTGTTTAGCAGCTCAATCGCCCCTAGAATCAGCAGAGACATTGTAGAGCAACATTCTCTACACAACCAACGTGATAATTGATTGCATCACCGTTTATATGCAGCCGATGAGAGTTCGGTGCACATATTGTGATACCACTTATTGCAGTTGTCACATTGCATACCATCGACAGGGAAATGGTAAGCAGGTCTGCCACAACGATGTTTCAGCTGAGCCATTATGTTGTTTTATGATTTCACAGTGAAAACTGATCTTTAAGTGAAGAGTCTTTTAAAGCTTGATAAGTGATAGACACTGAACACAAACAAAAACAGAGGTTTATACATAAATGTGCTTAACAACAATAAAAAGTTTGAATGATTATTCTTGTTTGGCGTTGTTGGAGCTATATTTCTTCACAGTACGGCTTGTGGCTCATTATCTGACACCGGTTTAACCGCATGAAAATGCTATAGACACAAATCTTCCCCTTAACTCCGTACATTACCTGGGTTAACCCACTCTGCGTAACGGCGGTTATAAGAAGTCATATAAGCGTTGTGTTGGATGAGTTCATTTCAAGCACTCTTAATTATCCAAACCGACATTTAGAGTGAGAAGCGGGAAAACCAAGTGAAGAGGAGAAAGCGAGTGAAGAGGCTGAATATGCATAGTCGAACAAAAATAAATAACCGACTTGTGATGAGAAGGGTAAGCAATACATACGCTCATATAAAAAATACAGTCAAGGTTAATAAACGAATCACTGGCAAATTCGAAATGTAACTTATGAGGAAAGAACGAAAAAAGTTATAATAATCAGCGTGGGCTTGACGTAGTACAAGACACTTCAGATGGATTTTTTGAGCTATTTTCCCGACTCCCTCATTTATCTACGTTTTGGGACAGACAGAGCCCGTAGAGAGACTTAAAATAGAGTTATTATAATGCTCGTAATTCTTCACACCTTTATAGACTATTCTTATATTTCAATAGAATACCACACTTTATGTGGCATTCAATCCGTATTGACAAAAAATGTTTTCAATGTTTGATTCAGAAATTTGTCGAAATCTTTAAAAAAGAAGCTATAACGGTTGCTCATTCTACTTAATCATTTAGCCCTTCAGGAACTAAGGAGAAATTACTCGAATTGGCACCTGTTGACTACTCTATTACGAACTAGTTGTTTTAGCCTATAAGATCTCAAAATGAGTCAAAAACATATCTCCTCATTTTAATTTCAGTTTGGGAAGGACAGGAGGCTCGATGGCCTATGTTAGTCCTGGAAATGGTGTTCTCTCAGTTGATCCAACTTTCTTTTGAAAAAGTCGACGGATGGAGCCTCAACCACGTGCTGAGGTAATGAATTACACTCGTTGATGATTCAGTGGGAAAATCGATAGTCAGCTGACAAGTAATTTGTTCTGGGCTAGTGAACTATTGTGGAGTGTCCTCGTAAATTCTCTGTTTTGGAAGACAAAAAAGATGAGGCCATATCAAATGCAAATTTATCACTAAGCGATTTGTAGACTGTAATCAAGTCGCCTCTAGTTCTGCGATATGACAACGGGAATAGGTTCAGCTTGGCCAGTCGAGCTTCATACGGAAGCTTCGCTATTCCGGGAATCAGCTTAGTTGCCGTTCTCTGAACCTTTTCCAGAAGCTCACTGTCTTTTTTTAAGCAGGGGCTGGCCGCTTGTATGCAGCACTCAAGTTTAGGACGTACGAACACTGTATACAAAGTCAAAAACCGATTAGTGTCGACATGACTAAAATCCGTTTGTATTGACCATAAGGTTCTCAAACCTTTGACGGCTATTGCACGGCAGTGTGTAGTAGTCCTTAAGTCTTGGCTAACGATGACTTCTAAGTCATTATATACCTGGACGACAGGTACCTCAGTGTTAATCATCATGTATGTATCTGTGCCTTGATGACCGATATGTATCACAACACACTGTGAAGTATTTATCGGCAACTGCCAGGTTTCAGACCATTCAGATAATTTCTTTAGGTCATTTTGAAGTTCTAAGCTACCACTCTTTGCTAAATCATGGTCGAGAGTTTCTCGACCCCCTTGGTATAGTCCAAGGGATATGGGGTGTGGTAACTTTTAAGTATGAATTTCGAAATGCGTCCTAGCCCATTTTCATTGAGGAATCTGGGTCTATTGTCCAATCTACTAACGATGCTGAGTGCATGATATCTGGTATGTTTACTTTCCAGACGTTAGGTCTGGATTGGACTGACGCGTGCTCGTGACTGACAGCTATATGGAAGTCGAAAGTTAAAACTGCGTGATCACTTTTACCTAAGGATGGCATGTAATGGAGGTTCGCAACGTCATCCTCATAGTGAGTCAAAATAAGATCTAGTAGGGATGATTCAGTGTCCGGATCGTACCTAGCCGCTTCTTTCACATGTTGCGCTACGTCACATGTGATAAACCCATCAACTAGTTCCAGCTCGAAGGAATTTTCCGACGATTTAGTTCGCAGATTTTCCCAGTCTACCATATGTGCATTGAAGTCCCCTAGGATTTGACATCGACCGCTTTGTGACCAAGTATTGAGACTGATTAGCAGGACTTCGTTAACCTCACAGCTTGAACTGCGATGGTCCAAACCAATCAGTAGCTCTTGGCCCTTGCATTTCAAGCGGAGACTAACAAATTCACACGTCCCACTCTCACGGAATACACTGTTGAGAATGACAAATGGGATAACATTCCTTACTAACGTAGAACCCTCGAAATCAAGTTCCATACTATCTATAGCCTGTGTCAGCCAGGTTTCTGTTACTGCGATTATATCTGGCTTTGTAGAGTCAGTCTGTACACCTAGTTCCGATAGCTTATTAAGTAAGCTCCGGGCATTGGTGTAACAGATCCGAAGCCAGTTCAAGTGACTTCGTGCTTCACCCAGAGTGGCTTCGGCATCATTCTCTGTCGATGCCTTACAACCCGAAAATTTACAATGTTCAGGTCCTTTTCGCCAGCGTCTAACTCAAGTTGTAGTCCTTTTTCGGCTTCCCGTCTTTTAACACGGTCTGCCAACGGTAAGTCTTTTCGGATAAAAACTCCTGAACCCTTTAATTTGTGTCCATTCTGTAAAATCAGGTCACGTTCGTTCGAGGAGTTGAATACTACTTTAAGCGGTCTGAAATGATTTGGTTTCAAGTCCGCTAGACTCCCTAGTCTGTACACCTTTAGCAAGGTGACCCCGCTGATATTTTGAGGCATGAGTTGATTAAGCAGCTGCTTAATCAGCACATTATCATGCTCAAAACAAGCTCAAGGTTCAGAGCTCTCACTATCCTTGATTCTATGAAAAATATTTGATCTGTCGCTATGATCAGCTCTCGATTTTACGACTACTGTCGCGGGGGTAGGATTACCTTTTATATCGCTACATTTTTTCTTCCTTACAACCTGTACCCACTCGTCAATGGTGCTGGTGGAAGCAATAACAGTTGCGTCAAACCTAGTGTTGGATTTTGGGGGTTGTCGACGACCTGAGAGGTCAGGTTATGTTTACCGCTTGAAACCGATCGAGCCTCGCGATTGCGGCTTCTAGGCGTTTCCTGTGGGATCCCACCTGAGAGGCGGGGAACAGAAGAACCTACTTTCTTTGAGCTTTCGCTTAAGGCAGGCCCCTTTGGAGACTGCTTTTCTTTCTTTGACCGGCGTGAGTCATCTACTATCGAACTAACCTTAGTTTGCTTCATGTCGATTTGTGTGTCGACAGATCGAGTGCTGTTTGACGTGTTCCAACTACGCTTGCTAAAACACTTCTTTGCAGCATCAACCAGTGAGATGGCCTCGGTTAACAGGCTGTTCGCATCCGAACAACACTGTTGACAAAGCCACACGCAACCTTTCTTACTGAACCGTTTGAAAGTTGCAGGCGTTATGTTTGTGCAAACTTCATGTACCAGCTTTTGCACTCGTTGCAGTGCATGCCGCTTCAAACGGGATAAGGACAACCCGGACGTTGGTAACTGCTTTTTTTTACACTGTCCGGTCATTTAAAAGGAGTCTTTTTCAAAGAGGAACGAGATGCGATGATGCTCAGAAACAAAAATATAATCAATGACCAAAAAGTGAAGAACTGTAGATTGTTAGGACCAAAAGCACTAACAGATACAATTGAAAATGAGGTACTCAAGAGTACTAATGACAAAACTAATTGAGAGAATGGTATAAACGATACTCTAGTCGAATACTTTAACTGAAATGAATTCAATTAAAGTGAAAACAGTAGTATTGATACGTAATAAACGATCAAAATACCACTGCCCTTTTCAAATAACGCGCGTCTTCGACTGCCTATATTCATAACTCAAGGAACAAGCAGTTTGCTACTTCTATTTAGCGAAGATCATACTTCAAATTTTGAAAACTTACATATTGAACATAGTTAATAGCGAAGCATCGTTGCTTAAACTTTTGTGGTGTATCACATTTAAAAGTTGTTGCCTGTTTCGTTCGCTTGACTGTACAGTTATTAGGTTTGGGTTGCTTGACTCATTTTTAATACTGTATAGGCTGTTTTTTCTCTAACATATTCATCATTAGTACGAAACTTTTATGGCAGCATCCTTAAGAGACGATGAGCTGCGGAGGGAACTCAAGGCTTTGGGCTTTGATCCAGGTCCAATAACGGCAACTACGAGGTCTGTTTATATAAAAAAACTCGAAAAGCTCCAAAAGGAGAAGTCATTCACTGTGGGTATTTCAACACAAGAAGCGTCAGAAACACCTAAACAAATATCTAAGTCACGCAAATCAACTGGGACTATAAATTCAAGCTCTTCAGGAACACAAGGTTCCAGTGTAATCAGTCGTAAGCATACAACTATCGAATCGAACCATGACATAGGTATGTTATTTGATCCTAAAGTTACTTGTGTATACCTTCGTAATGCAATATTTTGTAACACACAGTCGATATCTTTTGCTTTTCATGAAATCTCTGAAGATGCTTATGTCATTGTCGAAGTTTAGTACTAGCTTATAAGCATTGTAGATGTATAGACACCATGATTTCGAATACTTACGAATGGTTTCTCAATGAACTTTGTTCTACTTGGATTGACTAATTGAAACGACTATAGCTTGGGGATCTTTCCTTGTAAACAGCTGCATTCTTATCATATTCAAAGGTTTTTTCAGGTGTTTAGTTGTCATTCTTGTCATCTGTATGATAAGAAGCCAAATATTTATGTCCTAAGGGGATTCATTTACATAACATCTATCTGCAGTAAATACGAAATTTGTAGGTGCGGAGAATATTCACATGTGACATTTCTGAAAATGAGACCAAATTAGGTTAACTGACAGTCTTGCACATTGTAATGCAATAAATGGTTTTTCATTTTATGGTTTATTTAAGCACTCAAAAGTGCTTTAGAAATCATAACTTCGCCGCTCCGTGCGATATCTAACATGGATAAGAAGCAACATTGGTATAACTACATCATAGTCTTCTGTCTCTCAGTTGAACTTTTATGTATCTTAGGACCAATTTATTATCCTTTACTATGAAGCTGAAATACTCTTCACAGTAATCTGTACCATTTCCTTATTCTCTCATATTTCGTTCAGCAAGTTTGCATATTTGTGACGCAAAGTTAGCTTTAAACAACAATTAAGTTGTTGTTGCACACTTGTTTTATTGTGCATGTTATAAGTTCAATCCATACGTCAAATTAGAGGTACTATTATTAGCATTTTGTAGGTATGCAGCCTTACGTAGTAAGTTTCACGTCGTTGGGTTTTCCATAACAATTAACTCCTAATTGTGCGTGGTTATTGTCACAGTATCTATTTGTATGATTGTTAAGTAAGTGAACAAACTCCGAGCTTACAAGTATTTATTTTTATTGGTGAAGTAGACAATCCTAAATACATTGATACTCATTCAAAAAAGATAAAGTTCGTGATTATTTCTTCAAGGCTTATTAATACTTGAGTATTTGGAAAATCGAATTAGCAGGCTTGTGCATGGTCATATGCTCATATAATATTAATTATTTCAGGCGTGCAGATCATGGAATTACTCTTCTGCTTTTTAATTTTCGATCTAGGAACAGAGAATAAACACTTTTCCAGTAAACAATATTCAAAATCCAAGCCACCTCTTACCGGACATAATGTGGATTTATCTGAACCTTACACTGACATACTTCCGAGCTTAATCCCAATAGGAACATCTCAAGCGGAACCCGTGAATAAGTTTCGTAACGATTCTGATATGATCAATTCAGTTTCTTCACATAAGCAGTATCCTGCACAAAGATTTTCACGTGACCTCAATCAGAGCTCAGTTGATTATACACCCACCAGGAAAACGTATATTTATATTAAGGATGATTCTGTAGACGATGATACAGATGAGGAATTATCAAAACCAAGTTCGATGTCATCCACCTTGTCCAGAGTTACTGGTTGGCTCAATCGGAGTGCCCATGAATTTACGAAACCTAGGTCTTCAAGGGATGAGTCTGTTTATGAAAAATCCAAACTTAGTGTTCGTCGTTCCTCACACAGCAATGACCGTTTACAAATATCAGATACAGATAGTTCTGATATAGAAAAGTCCACTCAGAGCCCTTTCTTCAAGAGACTATATTCCTCTCCATTCAGGTTTGCCCTTTGTTTCATTTAGTCTTTTATTTCAAGCAGTTTTCAATTGTGCTTATTTAAGCAGGTAATATTTCACGTAACCAGTTAAAGTTCTGTCATTTTGCAGCCGTCTGGACAGCTTCTGAATTACCTATCACAGTGTTTTAAAAATTAAAATATGCTTAGTTGTATTTAGAGCTGCGTGTTTAACTTTATGCATAATCCAATCTTGAAACATGATAATATCATTTAAAGTAAATTACCACTTATTGACATATGTATGAAGTTAAGCAATAATAATCACAGTGAAAAGCTGCGACAGACAAGAATGCAATAAAAAATTACAACAGGTTTACCACTGTTTTCCAATCTTGAACATGTGTAGATACTTCCAAGATACTGCTCGTTGTGATCTCTGGGGGTTCGTCCCTAAAATTACAACAAAACAATGGGTCCTTATGTTACACAACTATCCCTCAACTCATGGTAGTGTTGTAGACTAATCTGGCCAATCGAACTTTGACCTGAGACAAAGGAACCGCGTTTTGCGCGGTCTGTGAGTGATAATGGAAACCAATATTTTAGATCCAGGTGATAGTACAATTACCATGCCCACTATGGGTAGTACAAAAGTCCTAACGTTAATCAAGACAGTCGGATGTCATAGTGTTTGACTTCTGCCTCAGTAGGTTAAATTAGTTGGTTTGTATTTGTATTAAGTGGTTTTACGGTTCGTCATTAAAATTTGTGTCATTAATAAAATTCCAAATATCTTCCACTGACTTTAGGAACATGAAATCGCGAGATACTGGAATCACAACGTCTCCTGGTCTTCTCTTCACTCCACCATCTAGGAATCTTGATAAGCCGACATATCACGGTGTTTCTATTTTATCTGAAGATACTGATTTCAATGATCTTGTTCGTAGCCGAAAGCAGCGTGATCAAAAGAACAGCTTTTCAAATTATTTCTTATTTGGGAAGCATTTCCCTTGCAGTGTCTCAAATATCCCTAATTTGATTCTTATTTCAAGCATAATCGTGTGTTTCATGTTAGTTGCAAGTTATTTATTCTTGAAGGATCACCATGGAGAAGTTGGTAAAATGGCAGGTAAGCCATAAGGATGTGACACCTCAAATGTTATATCAGTGATTTCTAATTCGATAATCATGGAGTTGGTTTTCCGCGTTTTAGTTTCGTCACTAAAGTGTTTTGTGATTGCGTTTTCTCAACCTACTTCGACTCGTTGTTTAGGTCGTTGATGTAAAAATCACTGGAAATGTAATTGGATGTCTTAGTTGGAAACCCATATTTGGTTTATGAATTACTACTCTAATTTCTACCGACTGACCAACTTCAGATATTTCAGTACGACCCCAAAACTCTTTCCCAATCTCCAACATATCAGAACACGAACCGTAGATGAAATTGTTTATGGGGTCAGGAGAAGAATAGGAATAGGAATAATACTTTACAGGCGAATGCATATTTATACAGTTAGGACTACCGTGAATATTGACCAACAGGAAAATGACACCATTTCACGTTCAAGGATAGCATTAGGCTTAACAGGATATTGTTTGGCATATTTTTCTGAATATCCCTATATATATATATATATATATAAATTTCGATAGAACAATGAGAAGACGGAGTTGATCTGAAAAATGTGATGTATTTGCGCCATACATTTCGAACAATCTGGTCACACATACTTGTCAGGGCATTTAATATGGAAATCAATAAGGGTCAACTAAATAAAAGTTCAAGTAAAAAGTAACAAAGGGAAGAGAAACAATCTTACATCGTATAGAAAGAATGAGAAATTATCGCGTTATCCTAGGCAATAGAATGATTCATTTATTACCAGGGTAATTTCATGGTTACGACAAATTGTCTTTTTACACGTAAGGGGAGCTTAAATGTACGAATAGCCAAGGCTTCAGTAAACTTGAGAGTTCGTCCTTGACAATTTCTATGCAACGTTTTAAAAGTCGTATTAATGTCAATTTTGTGCCCCATTTCAATTATATGTTTCGCCATCGATAAACATGGTTTTCTACCTCCCACGTTAACCGATTCATTCGACACAAATTGGTTTTAAAACCATCCAGGCACATGTTCAATGACCCTTGATTGCATTGTCCGATGTAAAATTGTATAAAATGAAAGTATAAGACCGTAAATTGGTATGTAATAGCTAATAACTCGATTTCAATTATCCACTTGCATTTCGAAATCTTCACTCATGTACATCGCATTGATATTGATTAACACCTTTTCCTGATTGTTAACATAACTCCTCACTGTTATCTATGTACCATATGTATGCAGTTGTTGTTCATGTTATGACTCCAAGTCGTTTGGATTGGAACAGGTGCATTCATTTTTTGTCTTCGCACGAGTTCTGAGCTCTTGAATTCCCCATAACTTTTCCTGTGTTTTCATTTCACTAATTTACATTTTCTTGACTCGTTTCTTTCATACCTAATCTTCTCAGTCACTCCTGATACTGTTACTTCATCTACTATTCTGGGATTTGAGCTGATAATTTCATCTCTGCTATTTGGTATGACAGCCTGGACCGGTGTACAGATTCCACGTTGTCACTGACTGTTTATCTGTCTAAGGCCATACAAATTGTAATTAACTGGTAAATATCATCTTTCTAGCTGATGAATCTTCTTAACTCACAATACATAGCATTTAGCAGCTTCAACCATTTGCTATTTGTTGTCCAACCACTCCTACTGAGAATTTTGTTCAGGTACGATGTTACTGTTCCGCATCGAATGCTATGTCAGCTAATCCTCTTTGGTATTACAATTATAATTCGTCATTTAATCGAATCCATTTTGGCGTATTGTGTCACATGCTATTATTTATTCACGGTAAGATGTATTTTCTGTTTTTTGTCATTATTTTATGATTGCTGTTGCATACTTATATATCTACTATTTGAGAGTAAACAGTAATTTCTAGAGGCATTATTATGACTCTAGTCTGATTTCGTTTCATATTTATTTAGATGTACAGAAGTTGCTTTGTCGATCTCCAGGCGACTACAATAATAGTCTTACAAAAGGCTTACATGTAAGTTTGTTCGATTAGTTGTAATTCCCATCTTTATCCAGCGCTGCCTACATGAAGATGATCTAACTGCATCCTTATGGGTTCTTGGGATTTTATATGATATTCTCAGTCGTTACGCTGGTAAGCCTTTTTGATTATTTGTGGAATTACCTTTTATGAGCTAGTGCAATGTAAGGAATGACTAGAAATCATACGGCATTAACAATTTGCTTTTAGTTAAGCTATCAACGATGTATCGAAATCTGACATTTTCTATGTGTTAGCATCGCGTTTTAGAAATGTTCGCTTATCAGGTAGGATTAGAGCACTCAACTGTCGCATACTTGGTTGCTCGTTTGAAGCCATTTTCACTCACCTCAATTTAAGCTGTCGAGTGATTTCGCTAACCCAAAATTCAGAAGTGTAGATCAAGGCTGAATACACGAATCTGCAATTAGTTACTAAGTTGCACTAGATTTTATTCCAATTAAAAATTTAGTTATTGTGTTTAATGAGTATTTCAAGGATTATCCGTTTGTTTATTTCGTTTTCATATATCTCACTGAGTTGCAAATTTTTTATTTTAGGAGAGTTTTACTGTAAAGTTGGAGTTTTAACTAGTCCTCGTCTAGATGTATCTTCTGCTGAACGTTTAGTTGAGCACAGCTTACAAATGAAAGGCTGGCCAACATTTCCGAAAACTGATTTTCGTCGGGTGTGGGATAATACACTTTATGTGTTACTTCATGTTGGGAAGACACATTTTAGTCTTGTTGCTGTTGACGTTAGCAAATCTGAACTAGGACCACTCAAGTAAGCTAGTCAAGTATCTAAAATGTTTGCTGTTATGACACTCATACTGTATTTGATAGTTGTATTTCTCTGCTTTTACAAACAATTATGCTATCAGTAAGTAGTAATAGTTAGCGGTGCTATATTGCAGTCATGTAGAATCAGACAATTTGCTATGTATCAAAGCAGTAATTAGGCCTTCATAATATGGTTAACGTGCCGCAGTAGAATAACTTGAAATAACTTACGAATTCTAAGTTTATTTTAGCACTAGTGTTGTGAACAAGAACACGGGTGGGGACAATCGAATGTATTTAGCACAAAAATTACAGACTACCTCAATATAATCTGAATACCATAAAGTCAATCGTCAATTTGCAAAATATCAATGCATCATATCAAACGGAACTGTTTCCGTTGCGAACACTAATCCATTGTCTCCCATTCTATTATACATGCGTTTTCTTACAAATTCCATTGTGCTCTCGCTCTTCCTTTCTTGATCTTCACCTCATCTTCTGCTGCCAGATATTACGTTAACGACTCGCATAACATACTACTTATATCAATATAAGTAGCACACACTAGTAATATAAAATAAAAGTAACATAATCCATGCAAGACTATCCGGTTACCCAAATCGAGTTCCTAACCTGCAATCGACTGGATAGAGGGTAAATGTCTTAACTACACAGCCATATTTCTACTACTTTGAAAGTTTTTACTGCCATCTTTTGGTCGCTCCATATTCTTTGTAACTATCTACAATGAATTTTCTCCTCGTTCAGTGGTATCAAATGTAGGTTTAAAAACAATGTTTGTCGTCGCTTTTTCTTCATTAGTGGGACTAAATCATATAAGTGAATGTAAATCCTCTATCATAGGGTTTACAAACTTTGTAGTATGCAACATATCACCTCATAATAAGTGAAGATTCTTTCGATCCTAATAAGCGATTATCTATTTATTCATAACAATTCAAAATTTAAAGATATGATGTTCGTTAACCAGACGACACGTTCAAATTAATAATTGATATGTGGTTTTATTTATTTATTTAGTCGAGTAATCCAAATCACTGAACTTGAAAGTCTTAAACCATATTTTCCTGGCGTTTGTCGACTCCGACGGTGTTTTCAATGGTTTGCTGGTGTATGCGTAACTTTTTTCTGGATCGTATTAGTTTGTGTGATTATTTTGGGGGTTTGTTATGGAGTTTATCTACTTCGCTCTAGAAAATTACGCGCATTAGAACGTAAAAACTGTCGAGTAAGAGAACTGGTGGCAGAAGTAGTATGTAAGTACGGTGTCACTATAAAAGTTGTCAGGTAATTTTTTGACTTATTGAAATTTAGATTTGTTAAGTGTTAATCGTGTAAGTAACCGGGTATTATACGTTATTAGTTGTACACTTTACTACGAATAACCATGAATTTATGTGTAGTTCATGAAAATTAGAAACCAAAACTCAGAAAAAGGATAAAAAGCTTTTGGTTCCTGTTTGTAGTTATCTGAGACATGGTTTTTAAGTAAGTATCCTCTAGAATATGTACCGCAATCGCTTTGACAGTTAAGCGTCTTGTCCCAGTATGTCATGGAAAAGATATTTATGATAGAAATAATTTATTCACAGGTATCTTGTTTACATATTATGGTTGCTCAGAAATGATTTTGATGTTTATCAACATAACGAGTTTGGTTCCCACTTGACCGTGGCTGAAAATATCTTCTTGGTCTATAACTGGAGCAGAATTTTCATTCAAATGATTTTTTAGCTTATTCCTTTATAATTAATTTAATTGATTGTGTACAGTTGACAAAATTCTTAATGAAATGCCTCATTCATATGCTTTATTGATCGTGGTTTCACAAAAATTAATATTTTCTGATTTATTTTGTTAAACAATAGTGCGTATTTACAGCTTAAATTATGTTGGTTTTGTCAGTAGTTGGTTCTGTTCTCTTTCATAACTGCCCCAACATTAGGTTGCTTGTGTTAAATTATTTTTCAGTGATACGAACATCTGTGGTATAATGAGCCGTAATTTCTATTGAATTATTTTTTTATTTATCTCGGTTATGATCCTTTTGGTTTTGTGCTTGTGAATAGACTTGCTACAAGATCAGTTACGAGAAAATGAAGCCAGTGCTAATCAGCCTCCTTATGTTCCTGTCTATATGATACGTGACCGCTTGCGTCAAAAACATCACGAGTAAGTAGTAGTTGTTTTTTCGTTTGCTCAACGTTTCTTTAATCAATAAATTTTTGATGAAAAGCCAGTAATATTTCCATGAAGAGATCTGTGGTTCCGTTGTTGTTTCATTAAATTCTAACTTATCACGTACTGAAATCATATTTCTTTTTACCTTAGTAACAAAGAGTTCAAGATATTTTAAAATTTAACTGAAACATATGTGACTAAGTCCCTACTCCTTGGTTACATATGAATGAACATTTCGTTATAACCCTAAGCTCTCAACCATTAAGTTTCAAGTTGAAATGCTAATCCTCCTTAACTCGATTTAGTCAGTTGTATTGTGTCAACAGACCTCATATACCGCAATCGTATCTCAATTGCCAAACACACGAACCTGTTCTTTATTGAAATTCGAACTAGTTTTACTTCATATTTGGAATAAACTACAAAGTAAAAATCATCTAAATTAGCCAATATTTTAAAAGGTGGATATGCACACTGTGTAAGCTTTTTTTGTTGACAATGTGTTAGTACGCTTTTTAGTACAGTATATATATATATATATATATATATATATATATATATATATATATATATATATATATTAAATGTTTGTAAGATAGTTGTGAATTATATCACTGAGCAAGGTAAATATTCAACACCAACTAATAATTTTATACCTTTTATCAACTTGTAAGTCACTGATCGCTTATTTAACATCCATAAGCTGAGTAGTTTACCGTGTCATAACTGTTCTTGAGAAATTATTTCGGTATGTGTGGGATATTTCATTAAGTTTGTTTAGACTATTCGCGTTGTGTCCTTCAATCCTTTATTACATTTAGTGAGTAAACCTATCATTTCATTGTTCATGTTGTAAACGACGACTTTGACACTTCAAGAATCCGGGGTTTTCAAAATGAAAATGATGAAAAACATTTTCAACTTGTTTTGACTGCCTACTTTTTTAATCTAAGCCGTTAAATACACTAAATTTTTCTATTGCACTTTCTTGTATACAGCTATCTATCCAGGATGGTTTATTTTAGTTATGTAAATAATAATGAAATTGGAATCAAAGTAAAATTACTTTTGTTCAATTCAGCTTGAATGTAGAAATCACTTTAATATACAATCAGATGATGAATACGTTTATATACAGATATGTCTTAATATTGAAAAATCACTAATGAATAAGCAATTTGTCGATAAGAATTGCAATTTTAGAAACATCAGTATTAGAGAATAAGGGAGATTGTAGAAAACAATGTACATGTTAAGCATGGTGTACAATAACAGCGGACTCGAGGTTAAGTTCTTGATTACATTCATACGGTAACATACAATTTCTTTCCGCGAAATTTAAATTTCTTTCTGTTTTTAGCTTAGATCGGTTGTGGCCTGAAGTTACGCGTTATGTTTATGAAGTAGAAACTTGTATCGGTGTACAAGAATGGAGAGGTGTAGGTGAAACATGGCAGTGGCAAAGCGGCACAGGTTGGCAAGGTTCTGGTAAGTGATTATTGATTGTATATAACCACAAAATAAGTGTACAGTATTATCAAAAAAGGTTATCCTCTTGAAACTATTGTTTATCGTGTATAATTTTTGGTGTTAGGTTTTTAAGGTCATTATTATTTTTTTTTTCAATTTCAACTTTTCATATTTCGGTATGCTATCCACATATTGTCTTCACTACTGGCGTTATTTCGGTTTACTTTTGTCTATTTACAGTGACTATCATATTATTGATCGTAAGATTCGTTGGTATGTAAGACAAAACAATATTTCCAATTTTGTCCGTCATTTGTGACTAAGGTTTCACACACATGCATACTAAACATCTATTTATAATGTATCATCTGTGTGAAATAAATTGACTGTTGTACATGCTTAGCTTTTCAAATGAACTTTCTAGTATTTAATCGTTTGTAAGTAAATAAGTCGTATAATATTGTAGATGTAATAACATAATACTGTCTTCTGGACAACAAATCTTTCCTTCCTTTGTATACATATATCTCTAATGGTATACAATTTATATAGCACATCCTAATGTAATTTTATTCCAAATAACGGTATTTTTGGTCCGTTTATTTTGTTGAAGAAAACGGTGGCAGAAAAAGTTTTCATGAACTTTCTGTCTTAATAAGTTAAGGCGTATTTCCTTATAGTCGTCAGTCAGTCAGTAACAATATAGAACTTCGTACGTATGTACATTGGCCTGGGTTGTCATACCACATCAGCATACAGATGCAGTTGTCGATTCAAATCCCGTAGTGGTAGAGGTAGCAAGAGTATGAGCAGTAATCGGGAAGATTAGGGTTTGGAGATGTTATTTAAAGAGTATAATCCAGTGAAATAAATTTGGAAAGAGGAAAAAAGGGATATGAAGAATTCAGAAGATTAGAATTTGGGAGAACACAATGAGTGGATGCACCTGCGCCGTTGCAAACGATTTTGAGCCATGTCATTCAGGGTCTCTAACCATCGGTTGCTATCATCCCGCGGTCCCCAACCAGGTAGCCTACACCTACCAACATGGCTCGGTCCACTTGTCAGCGACTTCATGGATTTGTGGCATGTTTTGGTCTGGCCGCCCCTAACTTTCTCCCAACCTACTCCTATACCACTGAACATAGCACATCGAGGTAGTCGGTCGTTGGGCACACGTAACACGTGTCCCAGCTATCTCAACTGATGAAGTTTCACTACTTCATCAATTGATTTGCCATCCTTATCTAGTACCCGTTTACTAACAACTGTGTTACTTACTCGATGGTCCCATGATATACGAGCAATGTTTCGAAGACACCTATGATCGAATACTAGTAACCTACGAATATCCTCCACTCTTACCGGCCATGTTTCACTGCCATAAAGTAGGACGAGACGAACTGCTGCGCAGTGAACACGTCCTTTGATTGATAGACGGATATCTCGCCTACTCCATAAATGACGCAAGTTGGCAAAAGCTAGTCGAGCCTTCTGTATCCGTGCTGAGATTTCGTCACATACCAGACCACAAGGGCTGATGAGACTTCCAAGGTAAGTGAAGCGGTCGACACACTCAACTACTTCACTCTCTATCACTAGTTCGGGTGTCGATGTAACCCAATCCTGAAGCAACATTTTGCATTTCGAGGGGAGAAATCACATCCCGAACATACTTAGATTGTTGCTTAGAGTGGTCAGAGGACTGTGCATTTTTTCAGCATCTTCACCAAATAGAACTATGTCATCAGCATATTCTAGGTCAAAAAGTGAATCTCCCGGTAGACGTTCAACCCCTGGAAATTTAGATGAGGAAAGTGTCATCTCTAAAAGCATGTCAACGACAGAGTTAAACAAGAATGGGGAGAGTGGACAGCCCTGACGAACACCACTTGAGGTAATCAATTCTGATGACAGTTCGCTATAAGCTTTCACTCGATCAGTTGTGTTCGAGTAGAGAGCCTTTATAAGGTTAATGTACTTCTTTGGTACTCCTTTCAGTGACAAACACTGCCATAGAACCTCACCGTCAAGAGAGTCGAATGCCGCCTTAAGGTCGAGAAATACTACCATTGTGCGGCGTGTGAATGTGTGTCTATGTTCTAGGACCTGACGTAGTGTGAATACATGGTCTATACAACCACGTCTAGGTCGAAAACCAGCCTGATTTTCTCTAGTCTGCTCTTCGTGAGCTTTGGTTAGGCGTCGAAGTATTATTGAAGCTAATATTTTAGACACTATATTAGTCAAAGTGACTCATCTGTGATTGTCACAAGAGCACTTTCGTCCTTTCTTATAGACTGGCACAATCAGTGATTGAGACCAGTCAGATGGGATTACGTCCAGTTCCCAAATTCTACCTAATACCTCGGTTAATCTCAGTGCTAATACTGGACCGCCATCCTTAAAAATCTCAGGAATGAACCTGTCAGGGCCTGCTGCTCTCCCTCGTTTCAGATTTTCTATGGCTTTTTCAACTTCGTAAAGAGTTGGAGGACCTACACTAACTTGCCATTCAGGTGGACTGGAGATCGTGGAAAACCGAAGTGTGGCTGAAGGCCAGTTGAACTGATCCCCAAAGTGTTCTGCCCATCGATCCAATCTCCTGGATTGAGAATGAATAATGTGTCCATCTTTTTCTGAGATTGTTTCGCTAACAGTTGGGTTCTTAATACCGGTTTCCCTAACACGTCTGAACAGTCGTCTTCTATTACCTATTGCCGCTACCTTTTCCATCTCTCTTGATTTCGCTACCCACCACTGTTCGCGATCATTGCGTAGGCTTCTTGTCAGTTTGCGCTTAAGCTGACTCCGCTCTTCGTTATGTTCAGAGCCAGATGGAATGAGTTTCCGAGCATCTATCAGTGCGGTAGATGCTGTTGAGATTCAGTGTTTCTCCCTAACCTTGTGGTTTACCGTACTTGCAGATATCACTGCTGTTTCCACAGCTTTTAGGATACCATTCCATGCTGCATCGGGGTGGGCATCACATACATGGCTGCCTAGCAGTTTTCCTAGTTGTTCCTGAAATATGGTCGACCTATTTATTAATATTGTTTATCTTTGTTTTTGTATATAACCTAATGGACACCTCATATGATACTCGGTTTTAACCAAATTATCACCAGCAACTTTACCATCTAACAATATTCTGTCAAGCTAAAGAATTCATTTTTACACAATAGAAATAAATTCATTCAGTGTCTCATTACTTCATTCAATAGCGTGTTTATTTTTCACATCTTATAGTATCCTTAGCACGTATACGAACAAACGTAAATCGTTGCTATTTCACAACCACTCTGTCGCTACCTACCCTGAAGATATATGTTAGATTGTCTAAGAGCGAGTTGAAACAAATCTAGGAGCGATAATATGTTTGTGCTCAAAGCTAGTATTTCGCAACTCCGATTTCGATACAGTCAATGAGCCTATCTTCTTTTCCCTTACAGTTTCGTAATAGAAACTTTATTGATAAGGTCATTAGTAGAATTATATATATATTAGAGTGATTAGCAATTACGAGCTAAGTAATTGTCACCAAATGCCCTGGTACAGCCGAGAGTGGGGAGAGTCAGCTTTCCCTCTCGAAATGCTTTCACATGACCACGTAGATACAACCACTGCCAGGGAAGTTTTGCTCATTGCCTCTTCGCGACGGGGGTGTTGTTTACGAAATTCAGAGGACGAAAATCCAATGTCCGGTGTTTTAACCGAATTAGTGGGTATGGAGAATCCATCTAGAGAAGTTGGAAAACCCTGATTCCAAACCAATGGTGTACATGGGCTCCAGGATCCTGAGTGAACAAATGACGTATGGACCAATTATTGGTCACCGGCTACCATGGGACTACATCTCTTGACGTTGCTCCACTACCTTGTGGATCAGACCTTTAGGTCGAATGCTCCGTGTGTGGTCTCCGAAGAAAATCACCTGCTTCGGTCTGGGCACTTGGGTAGTATCATAGCCCACACACAAATCAAGTGATTTGTGTGGCGCATATTTATTCGGTTCCTCTTTATATCAACATTTATGTTCAAATAAATGAGTAAATAAACACCAAACATAAATCATCGTTAAAAGGCTTTGGAAGTTTGTATATATAATATAAACTGTTAAAAGTTGATCTACATTCACCCTACATGAATATTGATTTCCCTCCTCATAAGATGTATTTGAGGGTTCCACATCTCCACCAGGCGACCGAACCAAGACACGGCATCAGCCCTTGAAATCATTGACTGCTGGTCTGAGTTATGTTATATCCAGACTATCTGGTTAGGATTCGCATAAAAACTCAATTGATAGTTGAAGATGTTGAATGATATGATTCATCATCAGTCACAGTACTGGAGATGCATTCCTTTTAATCTTTGTCTTTCCTTAGATCTTGAGCTTTAAAATTATCACACACTTTTTTATTTCGCGGACTTAATTTTTTCTAGAATAGTATTGTCTAAGCCTCGTGTCACTTACTACCAGTAGTACTGTTACTGCTTCTACTGTAACATTTTTCATGATAATTTCATCTTGCTATTTTAATATGATTTAATAGCTTGAACCGGCGCACGAATATTTCAGGTTCTACGTTGAATATGACTGACTAACGACTATAGGCACTAGCTCAGTGGTTTAGGAGTTTGACTGTCGCTTCATATACTTCGGTTTGACAAACCGGGTCGTGTTACTTTCTATCATAATTAGTGTACCTCGAAGTTAAGTGCAGAAATCTCTATCAGGTAAAAGCATTTGAATCGACCAAACTTAAATTAATTGACTATCTTCCTTCTCTGTAAACGTATGTTTGGTGTTTAGTTGTGAAGTGTGCAATTTTTACAAAAGTCACCCCGTTATATAGTTACAATGGTTTATCTAATACCTCTCTTTCATGTTACAGCACTTATGGACACGTCACAGAAGCCAAGTTTTATTGTTCCCCCAACGGAGTGCCTGAAAATAAGGAATATGTTTTCTACTGAGTAAGTGTCCTCATGTGAATAATGTTTTCTTTAGATACAGTCACATATGTGTTAGTGCTTATTATAAAGTAAAAATTGTTTAAGGTTCATGTGGTTTTGAGGCCATAACTTTGTACTAATTATATGTCTCGTTTTCTTTCACTATATTATAGAAGTATCGATGAACGTGGACGTAAAAGAATCAAACGCGAACTCTTAAAAAAATTAATGCCTTGTGGGTCCATTTTACACATAGGTTTAGATAGTGTTGGAATAAATGTAAGTGATTTGCTAAAATTGTTGGAGCAATGCCGTCAAACAAGGGTTCTTCATATTACTTATTTTTAAATCCTAGTTTTCAGCTAACTCCAATTACATAAATTTGGATATCCTGATTGTTGTATTAGTTTTTAAAATAAATGTTGTTTGGCCACTGGTGCACAGATTTGTACATGTTTTTTTGGTTGGAATAATTGGAAATTGAACCAAAAAGCTAAATACCTAACAGCATCTGATTTCCAAACAATTATCCATCTTAAAAATCCCCTAATTTATTTTCCGTGTGTGTTTACGAAATGTTTTCATTCATCCTCTAGTCGTTCTTTAAAATAATCATGCTAATTTTCAGCTTTAGTGAATGTTTTGCTCTCAAAGGCATATGGTTTAGTTAAGTTTTTCAGAAATGGGTTTTATGGAGATTGCAGTAATTTAAAATTTGAATTCATGAGCTTTCACTGTCGTTCTAAACCACATAATTAGCACCTACTTTATATAGAAGTTGGCGTTTTAATTATTTCACAGGAAACAATCCAGAAAACCTCAGTTTTCATGCAATTGGTTCCCTTTATTTAACCTCAGTTTTCCCTCATAAATTGATATAATCACTTAATTCTATTTTATTGAGACTTAGCGACATAGCGACAAAAAACGATAAATGAAACATCATCTACAAAATAAATTGCACCAGTTGTGAAAAGTGTTACTATTGAACATAGTGAACTCCCTCTCTGCCTACGCATAGATGAACTTTGATTAGTAGTGATGTGTCTAATGACAGTAAAGGCTTCACTAATAAACCATTTAGCTCAGAACATAACGCCTGGAATTTTCTGGTAGGATCTACTGACTTGAGATTACAGTTCTATTGGGTCTAGATTCTAGTTTCGGAAAGAACAAATAATTATTTAGAATTGAACGATATAATCGTTTTTGAAGTTTTCAAAACTTATTTTGATAACATAACATTGGCTATTTTTAACTGGGATAAGGCGGTATTCTAGTACACTTATAACTTTTTTGTTATTGACTAGTGTTGTTGAATAGTTTACTACTAGTGAACAAGGCAGCATTGTTATTGGCGTTCCTACCGGTAAAATAGACGCGGAAGTTTCTACGGGAAGTTTTTTCTTTTTTGTCTAGAGACAAAGTTACACTTCAATTGATACTTGAGTAATTTAACGTATGTGAGGAACCAGCGTTCTAAAATCGAATTTTCTAAGATTTGCTACGAGTATTATGTGATGATTTTTTCGAAAGATAGCGTGTTATTTTTACTTATTAGTTCTACAAGACCCGTAAAAACTCATATTTTTAGTTTCATTGATATATGAAGGTTAGCGCTACAGTCTATCTGTGGATGTGAAATTAAATGGGGTTGGTTAAGAAAATACAAAGTTCCGTCCCAGTTATCCGATGTTATTTTCAGATCTCGTCTGTGGGACAGTAATATTTACTGAATACAAATAGATCCAGTTAATATGTAGAATATTGACCACTACCATTATATGATGAACTAAAAGCTATTTGTGAAATAGCTGTAATAACCACCTAAGGAATCAGTTGTTGTTGCACAGTTGTCTCAAGTGGAGCATTTCATCTCAATGGATGAATGTGCAGATATATGGGAGATCAATCCCACCTAAATTTTGAATTAATGAATGATTTGTAATTTATATCCTTTTATGATTCATCGTGCATTTAACTAGTAGATATTTAAATTGGTTCGACCGTTTTTGTCAATCATTCATCCAAACAAACCGTAGTCTCACAGTGAAGCCTGTTACAAAATGTGGTTCATGTTAATGGACCTCTGTAAATATACATTACAAAACATCATTACATGAATCGTAGTGAAATAATATTTTGCGTTACCCGATTGATGTTAAGAAAGGAGCCAAACTGTGAACTTACTGACGATAATATTATGATATCTGATAGTCTAAACATGTGTTTCAGTTGAGAAATAATTCATCCTATGTTTAACCTATAAATATTTAGCTAGCTGTGTTACACTTCTAAACGTAGCATCAGTTTTATCTGAAGGCATGAAACCAACGTGAATATATCTTTAATTTGTTCAAACGATATTTTTTTAGTCGTAAATAGATATCTGTTGTGAATTTTCGGCTTTCTCGATTTTTTCATCTCAGGGATTGGTGTATGTAAAGTGTGCAGATCCGGAAACTGCAGGTCGCGTTTTCCACTCGATACATGCTAATTATTTTGATGGTAAGTTATGTGAGATATAGTTGTTTTGTCAACTCGTTTCCGGGTTTCTTGTTTAGCTTATGAAAGCACTATCTTTGGTGTGTTTCTTTTTGGAATTGCTCAGTTTTTTTTGAAGTATCTGTATGTCTATTCACGTTTTGTCACTGCATGGTCTTGCATCAGTTTCCGCAACTCAAGTTTTTTTTTACTATAGTACTAAATTTCATATATTTATTGTTTATTTATTTGAACATAAATGTTGATACAAAGTCAGTCAGTTAGCTACAACTTTGGACCAGACATATATGTATCGGTCCGAGTTGCCATACCTCATTAGCACAGCAAGATAAACACCGGAATCAGAGAACTAGTTTATTCCGTGGCAGTAATATATAAAAGAAAGATTGCGTATAAGGACATAGTACAGGAAGAAAGAATTAGTACGTAGAAAGATATGAAGCGATCTTAATCTTATAGTTTAAAGGAAAATAGAGAATGTATACACACGGAGCCTTCGACCTAAAGGTCTGATCCACAAGGTAGTGGAGCAACGTCAAGAGATGTAGTCCCATGGTAGCCGGTGACCAATAATTGGTCCATACGTCATTTGTTCACTCAGGATCCTGGAGCCCATGTACACCATTGGTTTGGAATCAGGGTTTTCCAACTTCTCTAGATGGATTCTCCATACCCACTAATTCGGTTAAAACACCGGACATTGGATTTTCGTCCTCTGAATTTCGTAAACAACACCCCCGTCGCGAAGAGGCAATGAGCAAAACTTCCCTGGCAGTGGTTGTATCTACGTGGTCATGTGAAAGCATTTCGAGAGGGAAAGCTGACTCTCCCCACTCTCGGCTGTACCAGGGCATTTGGTGACAATTACTTAGCTCGTAATTGCTAATCACTCTAATATATATATAATTCTACTAATGACCTTATCAATAAAGTTTCTATTACGAAACTGTAAGGGAAAAGAAGATAGGCTCATTGACTGTATCGAAATCGGAGTTGCGAAATACTAGCTTTGAGCACAAACATATTATCGCTCCTAGATTTGTTTCAACTCGCTCTTAGACAATCTAACATATATCTTCAGGGTAGGTAGCGACAGAGTGGTTGTGAAATAGCAACGATTTACGTTTGTTCGTATACGTGCTAAGGATACTATAAGATGTGAAAAATAAACACGCTATTGAATGAAGTAATGAGACACTGAATGAATTTATTTCTATTGTGTAAAAATGAATTCTTTAGCTTGACAGAATATTGTTAGATGGTAAAGTTGCTGGTGATAATTTGGTTAAAACCGAGTATCATATGAGGTGTCCATTAGGTTATATACAAAAACAAAGATAAACAATATTAATAAATAGGTCGACCATATTTCAGGAACAACTAGGAAAACTGCTAGGCAGCCATGTATGTGATGCCCACCCCGATGCAGCATGGAATGGTATCCTAAAAGCTGTGGAAACAGCAGTGATATCTGCAAGTACGGTAAACCACAAGGTTAGGGAGAAACACTGAATCTCAACAGCATCTACCGCACTGATAGATGCTCGGAAACTCATTCCATCTGGCTCTGAACATAACGAAGAGCGGAGTCAGCTTAAGCGCAAACTGACAAGAAGCCTACGCAATGATCGTGAATAGTGATGGGTTTCGACGACCCTAAAATTGTGCTACTGTATCGATATCCGAATTTCTCAGTTTTACGAAACAATGATGTCTACTTATTTGTTAAGTACAATTATTCATCTCAGTTAATACTAGATTATGGCTATAAAAATCTAAGCGTATTATGTAAGTGTATAACCTAACTGTATGCACAGCGATCTAAATCAATGTTAGGTCATTATTGTCAAAAAAATGCAATGTTTTCTTTGTTAGTCATATTAATTCTTGGTTATCCACTTTTCTTTCATTGTTTTATTTGGTTTAATAACAGGACTGGAGTTTTTACTTTCGTTTTGATTAGAAGGGTAATATTATAAAGCTTGCTTATTAAGATCAGACTATGCTTGTTTACTAAAAGCATCCAGTGTATTCTTCTGAATTACCTAATTACAGGTTATATTTTGTAATTTATTTGTTTGGGGTTCTTTGTTTCCGTAACCTCATACATTCATTTAAGCTAAAAAGATATGTGTATATTTATGTCCACATTTCATTCTGCTTATATAAATTTAGGCACTGCAACAATGAATTAATGTGCCCGTTCTCATTTGTTGTTGTCATTCTTTCTTCATAGGTCGTTTGTTGACTGTAAAGTTCTTACGGGATAATAAATATTGTTTACGCTTCCCTGAGGCTCATAGTATAAAACAGCCACTTCAAATAGAAGATTTCGAATGAATAATCAGTAGTCGTGTGTATTACAAATTGTTAAAAAGATGTGTTGTACTATAATTCTACCTAACAGTTTTTAATGAGTTTCGTTTTTGATATGTATACTTAAAATTGTTCGGTGTTCCACTTTATAAAACAGCATTTACACAACATATATTATTACCACTACATTTTCCAGTCTTTTTTAATGCATTTTTCATTTATGTTATTATTTACTTTGTAGAGTTTGTATATTTGTTTATCAATTTACTGTATTTTTAAGCTTTGTAATCTTGCGTTTATATTTTCTGAATAAATTATATACTGTTAGTTTCCTCCTTATTATATTGGTGTGTGTACGTGCAAAGTAAGATGATTGTACAACTGCTTCTCAGTTCCAAGTATAACAAAATATGCTCAGTTTGTTTTGGTTTTGCCCTCAGGAACTCTCTGGGTTGTTGGTACGTATTATTTCCATCAGCTTCTCTTGCACTTCCTTGAGGATACCATTAGGGTCTTTTAATTTTATCTGAAAATAAAACATACGTATTAAGGAGTGATTACTAAAATCAGTTGGTTTGTGATAAACAATGTTTTGCCGGTGTTTATTTCTTATAGTAATATGTGATTTGAGACTAAGCAGTGGAATAGTGGAAATCTATCGAAGATTGGAATGTCTCCAATTTTTCCAATATCATTGGGTAAAAACCTCTCCTCCTGGCGTGGTTGAGGTTAAGACTTCACAAACGATTGGAGCCGTTTACTGTAGTAGTCATTGAACTAATATCTAGTAATATGTTTCACATATATATGGGTTCGTGAACGTGATTTACGTATCAACAGTATTTAATTAGGTGTTTTATATAATAAGATGTATCTTGTCAGTTATGAGTGGGCCTCAGGAAGTATTCTGTTCAATAATAATGTAATCAGAGTCAGTCAGTAACAACGTAGAACTTCGTACGTACGTACATCAGTTCGAGTTGCCACACCAAATTAGCACTGAGATGCAGTTGTCGATTCAAATCCCGTAGTGGTAGAGGTAGCAAGAGTATGAGCAGTAATCGGGAGGATTAGGGTTTGGAGATGTTATTTAAAGAGCATAATCCAGTGAAATAAATTTGGAAAGAGGAAAAAAGGGATATGAAGAATTCAGAAGATTAGAATTTGGGAGAACACAATGAGTGGATGCACCTGCGCCGTTGCAAACGATTTTGAGCCATGTCATTCAGGGTCTCTAACCATCGGTTGCTATCATCCCGCGGTCCCCAACCAGGTAGCCTACACCTACCAACATGGCTCGGTCCACTTGTCAGCGACTTCATGGATTTGTGGCATGTTTTGGTCTGGCCGCCCCTAACTTTCTCCCAACCTACTCCTATACCACTGAACATAGCACATCGAGGTAGTCGGTCGTTGGGCACACGTAACACGTGTCCCAGCTATCTCAACTGATGAAGTTTCACTACTTCATCAATTGATTTGCCATCCTTATCTAGTACCCGTTTACTAACAACTGTGTTACTTACTCGATGGTCCCATGATATACGAGCAATGTTTCGAAGACACCTATGATCGAATACTAGTAACCTACGAATATCCTCCACTCTTACCGGCCATGTTTCACTGCCATAAAGTAGGACGAGACGAACTGCTGCGCAGTGAACACGTCCTTTGATTGATAGACGGATATCTCGCCTACTCCATAAATGACGCAAGTTGGCAAAAGCTAGTCGAGCCTTCTGTATCCGTGCTGAGATTTCGTCACATACCAGACCACAAGGGCTGATGAGACTTCCAAGGTAAGTGAAGCGGTCGACACACTCAACTACTTCACTCTCTATCACTAGTTCGGGTGTCGATGTAACCCAATCCTGAAGCAACATTTTGCATTTCGAGGGGAGAAATCACATCCCGAACATACTTAGATTGTTGCTTAGAGTGGTCAGAGGACTGTGCATTTTTTCAGCATCTTCACCAAATAGAACTATGTCATCAGCATATTCTAGGTCAAAAAGTGAATCTCCCGGTAGACGTTCAACCCCTGGAAATTTAGATGAGGAAAGTGTCATCTCTAAAAGCATGTCAACGACAGAGTTAAACAAGAATGGGGAGAGTGGACAGCCCTGACGAACACCACTTGAGGTAATCAATTCTGATGACAGTTCGCTATAAGCTTTCACTCGATCAGTTGTGTTCGAGTAGAGAGCCTTTATAAGGTTAATGTACTTCTTTGGTACTCCTTTCAGTGACAAACACTGCCATAGAACCTCACCGTCAAGAGAGTCGAATGCCGCCTTAAGGTCGAGAAATACTACCATTGTGCGGCGTGTGAATGTGTGTCTATGTTCTAGGACCTGACGTAGTGTGAATACATGGTCTATACAACCACGTCTAGGTCGAAAACCAGCCTGATTTTCTCTAGTCTGCTCTTCGTGAGCTTTGGTTAGGCGTCGAAGTATTATTGAAGCTAATATTTTAGACACTATATTAGTCAAAGTGACTCATCTGTGATTGTCACAAGAGCACTTTCGTCCTTTCTTATAGACTGGCACAATCAGTGATTGAGACCAGTCAGATGGGATTACGTCCAGTTCCCAAATTCTACCTAATACCTCGGTTAATCTCAGTGCTAATACTGGACCGCCATCCTTAAAAATCTCAGGAATGAACCTGTCAGGGCCTGCTGCTCTCCCTCGTTTCAGATTTTCTATGGCTTTTTCAACTTCGTAAAGAGTTGGAGGACCTACACTAACTTGCCATTCAGGTGGACTGGAGATCGTGGAAAACCGAAGTGTGGCTGAAGGCCAGTTGAACTGATCCCCAAAGTGTTCTGCCCATCGATCCAATCTCCTGGATTGAGAATGAATAATGTGTCCATCTTTTTCTGAGATTGTTTCGCTAACAGTTGGGTTCTTAATACCGGTTTCCCTAACACGTCTGAACAGTCGTCTTCTATTACCTATTGCCGCTACCTTTTCCATCTCTCTTGATTTCGCTACCCACCACTGTTCGCGATCATTGCGTAGGCTTCTTGTCAGTTTGCGCTTAAGCTGACTCCGCTCTTCGTTATGTTCAGAGCCAGATGGAATGAGTTTCCGAGCATCTATCAGTGCGGTAGATGCTGTTGAGATTCAGTGTTTCTCCCTAACCTTGTGGTTTACCGTACTTGCAGATATCACTGCTGTTTCCACAGCTTTTAGGATACCATTCCATGCTGCATCGGGGTGGGCATCACATACATGGCTGCCTAGCAGTTTTCCTAGTTGTTCCTGAAATATACTCTTAGCTTGACTATCATTAACTAGGCCCCTAATAGGTTTCTTTGCGGCATCTTTCCTACGTTCAATAAGACGCAGGCGAATACGCGCTCGTTCTAGAGCATAATCTGAATCTATGCTTGTGTTCCAGAATGAGGGACAGTCTTCTATTGAGCCCCTCCATCGGTGGCTGATAGCAATGTGATCTATTTGGGTCCAACGTTGGGACGAATTAAGGGGTCGCCATGTTAAAAGATGTTTTTCCTTATGTTTAAAGTTAGTGTTTGCAAGGAACAGTCGGTTATCTGAGCATAGCTGCAACAGACGGTTGCCATTATCTGTTCTTTGAGCCACGACACCATAAGATCCACCCAGGTGTCTTTCCTTATCGCTTAGTTTACCTACTTGAGCATTAAAGTCACCGGCCACTATTACTATATCAGAGCGCCTACCTTTTAGGAGGAGGTCGGAGAGCTTTCTGTAAAACTCATCTTTTACATCATCTGAGCTGCAGTCAGTGGGAGAATAGGCAAAAACGACGAAGAGGCAACGACGAGTGTCCCTATCTTTCCAGATTCTTACTGTTCCGTTCAGTCGGACAGCGCACAAACGGCTGTCTACTGGGATCCACTCTAAGAGAGCTAGTTCTGCACTAGGACTCAATGCTATACCTACGCCGGTGAGGCCACGGGAAGCAGAATCAGTGCTTCCAGATACACGAAGCGTAAATCAAGTCGGTTCTTTATTTTGGCATGGTGAGGTCAAATGAATGACGCTACTCGGATCCTGTATGCGCGTTTCGGAGACGCAGCACACATCAATGGCTCGAGATTCTAAAGTCTTAGCTAAGGAAGCCTGCTGTCCTATTTGGCAAAGTGCTCGTACGTTAAAAGCTCCTACATGTAGTTTAGAGCGTGGTTTCAGGAGACCAGGAATAGCGCTCCACGTACTCGAATCGTTTGCCCTAGCGGTGCGAGGTGATAAAGAGACGTGGGGAGGGTTAGTCATGGAGATAAGAGAGGTATTAGGAGGTGTAGGAAGGATTTGAATGTGACCAACTTGTTCTCGTGTGTTGTTACGGGTATGAGGGCTGATATCGCTTCCCGGCTGCCCACACCGTGGAAGGGTATTTCTTGAGGAACCTGAAAAGGAAATTGGATTAGTGTTGGTCTTGACGACCTGGGAGCGTGACCGCAGAGCCCAAGGGACAACTGCTTGAGGCCGGTCGCGCACGGCCTTTCTGTGGGAGGTTTTTAGTATGTTAACTTCGTTCTTCAAAAGGCCTTACCGCCAGAGACGGAAATCCGTGAGGTAAGGTGAGGTGTGACATTTTTAGGGTCGACCTTTTCTAACCCCACCCCTCCTTGTGGGAAGGCAGCATCGCTGCAGATGCTGGTTGTTCGAGGGAAACACCTTACTGTTGTCACACCCCTCTACAGTCAGCAGTACAACTTCGCCCTCAGACCTTGACTTGGTGATTTTAGTCTTACCGTTCTCCAATCGACCTGCCTGGCATGGTAGAACCTACAGGAACATATGTTCCAGCCAATATAGGTCGGTCGGGTCATCACGATAGGCAAGCCCAACCACCGCGTCAAGGTAGCAGCTTCGGTCGGGAATGTAATCAGATCATTTCATCTAGTATTCCATTGTTTGATTGACAACTTTGTCGGTCCTGTATCTCGTATATATTCATTTCTGTTTGCATTTTAAGGCTAATCTAGTTGCATACTTGTTCTGACCGCAAAACTAAATGCGATTTTCATCAGTAAACGAATGAGGTGTATAACATGAACTTACTGCAAATGCATTGGTCATAGATGGTTTATCACTTATCATCAAAATGTCCCTAGTATTATGAACAACGGTTTGATGTGCGACGTTAGAAAAATAACTCACATTTGGTGTGGTTAATGAAATTTCGCGCAGATTACTAAGATCTTTTACGTAAAAACTTTCCATTAATGTTGTGTGGTGTATACTACTTCACTACACAAGATTATATTCTCGAAAGAAATATTTTAGTTGTGTTCTTTATTCAGGTTTTAAATCTCACTTGATTTTAGTTG